CGTTCCCCTCGCATGTAGAATGGTGTGTTTGATTCAGAAAGAGAAGGTCTCGCGATCGAGCGAGATCTATCGCGTGCTTATCTCACGGGAAATTTTTGCAAGGAATTTTCATAGGATTCCAAGCGATCGTCGGTGCGAATGACGTCGCGTTTGAGCGACGCCGAGGTGTTGTAACGCATCCATTCCGCTGTAACTCGCATTACATAATCGAGAACTCGCGGATTTCGCACGCGATTATATGAATAATTGCTCGGGCCTTGAGCTCGCCCCGATCTTTCGTTAAATATGGGTAGTTACGTGCGCCGTAATTTAGCGGCTTGATTTCCGCGGACAAGCGCCGCCATTCGTTGGACGATTCCACATCGGTCGTAATTATCGATAAAACGCCGTTGCAAATATAAATTGGATCACCGTTGTGGAGGTCGTTATTTCTGGCTTTTCACGACCCCAAAGTCGTACGGAGTCGTACGGAAGAGGGACGTGAATTCCTCACGTTACATTATTACACTGAGAAAAAATGTTTAGTATTTGTCATTATAGTCAACGTGAACAATTAATCACTAGAAATTGCGATCAAGAAAACCACTTCTGTATTAAATTCCACTGTAATGTTTGTGATAATAATCATATATGCACATGCTATTACGTTTCACTACAAAAGATATCATTGTGGCCAGAAATAACTATAATTTTAGATCAATTATTTTTTCTTTCAGTTCACTCATTTATAGGATGCAATATTGCTGTTGGCGCGATACAGTCTCGGACGCGATAACATAATCTATGAAATTGCCCTTTAATATGCTGTTATTATACGCGGTGATCCGCGATTCGCCGTCTCGTTTTCGCCAATTTGGATATTTTGAGCGCATAATGACATAGCGCGATATTGCACGACGCATAGTTAAAAACTCGAATGAATGAATGATGGTTTCATTGAATGCAGTTGCGCATCGCATCGGTGGGAGAACGCACGACGCGATACGTGCGATAAAAATGTAGACATGAATGGAGAAATTAATTGAGAAAGTAAGAGTGACCTTTCACGAGAGTCGCGATTTGTATAGGGAGACGCGACTCTGGTATACCACGTTATTAGACTCTTTCGTTTTGTAAGTCGTCAGTGGCCCGCAATACTTTCACTCGTGTATATTCTGCATGCCGTGAATTTTTTCGACGCAATTAGTGCAAATTGGTAGCATCATCGTAAATGCGACGTAAAAGCTGTCCCATGGAAAGCAACGTTCTCCGTGCAATTAAATTTCTGCATTATTTCATACGAAATGAGATAGAGAGCGGAGAGGAAGTTTTTACGTAAAGCGTCGCTGCACCTCGCGCTCTGCCTGGGAATAAAACGAACAAAAAAAAAAGAAAAGAAGAACCCACAACTTTTTGCGAAATCCTTAAAATCGTGGAACTGATCTCAAATGATAAATCTTTGATTCGCCAAAGTTGCAAAATCGGAGAGAACTTTTTAATTAGATTTTCTTCAAAATTCGCTCCTCCTCCCTCAGTGGACACTCTCGAGTGTGCAGGGCGTGAAAGTATGTCACATTTTTATTACGGTTTCATTACTCGCACAGAGAAACGATCATGGACGGTATCGACATAATATCGCGATGGCTTTTAGCGACTTGATTTAGTTTCAAGTTAACCAACTGATAAAAGCTCACGCGTCAGAGTTGACTCGTCGTTGATTTATCCTTCGATAATCGATCGTCGTATAGTTTAATTGATTAGTATTTATTTTGCTACAAATGTCACACGACATATTTCATTCCATCCCTCCGCTTCGTCGCACGTTTGATGATGTACAGCATTCTACTTTGCGAATTACATCATCTGTCAATTTTTATCTCTACACTGAAAGAAAAGAAAATGATTGGTCTAACCAAAAATGTATTAGTTATTTTTGGCCCCAACTGTATTTTTATGTGTTCTAACACGATAATAGTAACATGCATATGAAGTTATTATCACTAACATTATAGTAGAATTTAACCTTATCTATTGATAAGAAACAAAGATTTAAAAAATCACAATTTTACAGGTCGAATCATTCTTGCATAACCACGATCAATTTATAATATTTCTCTTTCTCTGTGTGCAAATTATAATTGCAAATGTAAGTTTTTTTCTCAGGTGCATTGTCGTGAATAGCAAACAAACGGAACTCTCCTCGTGTTCGGACTATCGACCCCTCCCCTTTCCCTCTGGTAAAAGCATGCGCTTAATCTGGGTTAAAGGAATTCCCAACTTTCAAAAAGTCTCAGTGCCTCAGTGCTCTCGAGACTAAGACTGTGTGACCTGGCCTCTATCTGCTTGCCTATAAGTGCATGCAGACGCGGCGCAGCATTCCCTTTAAAAGCGATCCTCCTCGAAGACCTTGCTGCCGATCAGGCTACGCGCGGTTTCGTGCTGCAGGCTGCATTCACGCAGACCTGCTCACGTTTTCCGTTACGTAGTCCACGTGGAACGAACGGATGCACCGATCCGCGTTCGCGTTAACGATCGGATAACTATTGGAAAGTACGGTCCGCGTGTTTCTCAGTCGAGAAGGAGAAAAAAAAAAGAGAAAAATGAGGATAACGCGGCGTTTCCTGGCGAAATCCGTCTGGACGTTGTAGAAATTAGGTCTCGCTCTTCTTCACCTCTTCGCGACGACATTCAATTCCCGCGAAATGAACGCGCCAAGAAACATCGCGTACGCTTGCGGAAACGCGAATGGAAAGAAAATAGAAGAGATTCCGCTTCCTTAATTCAACGATCGAGATTGAATCTTCTCAGCGAATTTTTCTATGGAGAGAGAGATGGGAGCTGAAAGACACGACACCGAAAACGCCGTGACGTCATTTGCCCTTAAGCGTTCACGTATATTGAATCGCGGTACCGTATTTCCTATCGCCTTTGTTCGTGATTTCCATTGTCCCTCCCTTTATCGTCCGTTCTATGAATCCACGCGCGTATTTGCGTAAGGACCGACGAGTGTAATGATGGCGTTCCCGTGTTGAATACTCCATGGCCGGGTGTAACCCGCGAAAAGGCCTATTGCTCTCCCGCACGGACAGTTCTGCGACCTTTGTCGCGGGAATCTAATTTCCGAAATCTCATGGCTCTGCGAAACAGCAGCGCGATTTTCCCGTCGTTCACGTCGAATTTCAGGCGCAGATTGGCCTTTAGCCGTTGGAGGTGAGAGTGAATGAGAAAAAGGAAGAGAGAGAGAGAGAGAGAGAGAGAGAGAGAGAGAGAGAGAGAGAGAGAGAGAGAGA